ATGTGCGAATTGCAATTCAAATTTGACACATTTTTCACTTTGGCAGTTTTTCAGAAACATCAAATACTGTGTGCTTTCGGGGAAATTAGGGGTGGCTGTATCATTCGGCGACGCACTGTATATACTGAGCACTCGCGTCTATCTGTCACAAAATTCGGTATAAGGTTTAGGAAGAATCATCAGAGGATCGGGTCGGTCATGTAAGGAGTACATGTGAAATTAGCCAAGCTGCCAAGCTCACGAGACATGCATCGGAATGTGCGGGCGTGAGGGAAAACCTTCAAAATCAGGTTACAGAGCAGCTGGAAAAGACGAAAAAGAGGAAAGACACCAGAAAGATTGGCAAACATAAGGGATCCCCCTTATTCATAAAGCAATAGTTTAGTGTGTCGGTTCGTGAGTAGGTTCCGATAAGTCTTAGGTTTACGACAAAGGTAATGATATTCAAAATCCATCTCTATTCTGTATTTTCTTTTTATATATGAAGCAATAAGTTTATGAATTGGTAAATGTCGTGGAGCGAGTACTGCGGTTTGGAGTGAGCAAGGTGGAGTGAATTTCAGCACTTCAGAATATACTGGCATCGTACTATGTATGCAAATGCAAGATTTGGAATTTGGCTACGTCATGCATTGCCCTTATTTCGTTCTCTATCCTTCTCATTTCAGTCGAACAGCCCGTGGCAAGCAGACTACCTTCTTTCTCGAGGGAAAGTGGAAAAGATTGGCTCACCTGCCATTCTCTTTTGAGTTGTTTAGTACCATAGACGTCAGCTTCGCCACATATTGCATTTCACTCGTTCTGTGCCGCCAAGCTCCACTTCAACAGTACTCTTCCCCCTTTAGCATTTTCGTATAAAAAGAATGTCTCAGAAACTCACGAACCTAATTCCGTTAACAAATTGATTCTTTTTCTTGTTGGATTCGCTGAAAGAGCACATCTATAAAAACAATCTGTTTAGTCAGCCAAAATTTTGGATAGTACTTACTAACGTTCTCACCTTTTGATAACGCCACTATCAGAAGACGATTTCTCTTCCTGTTGATTTCCACTTTTTTCGGTTGGATAAGTTTTGTTGCAACTGATAAAGAAAAAACGTAATACCTTGAAGAGTGGCAAAAATTCATGCAAGTGGTGGTAACCTATTTCAGGCAATCCTTACCATGTAAAGTATCTAATCTTATGTATCCTCTGTATATATATATATATATATATATATATATATATATATATATATATATATATATATATATATAAGGCGCTAGCTTTGTGTGTCTGATTGTATGCCCGTTTGTGCATCATTTTAAAAGTCACGTAAGCGCATTGTGGTTCAAAAAAATTCTGAAAAGCGAAGAAGTGGGTAGACTTCAAACCAGAAGGGATTTTTACTATATACATATAATACTTCCAACGTCAGCATCATTCTTCCAACGTCAGCATCATTGTCAGATGTGCTCTGTCGCTACAAAGAGTATAGTCAAACGCAAACGGTATCTTCAATTTCTAGGGGGCACAAATGTCGTTTGTCTTTTGTCTGTCTCTGTTTGTCTCTTCGTCTTTTCATCATCACCTTGTATGGCTCCTTTCTTGAATGGAAATGGAACAGAGTGCTCATGTCCAAACAAGAGAGTGAGGGGAGCTACTTGAGATTACATGACCTGAGCTGATTATCGCCCACAAGGAGCGGGGATGCGCGAAAAGTGCCTTCCAACTAGAATACATAGCTGCTGTGAACCTAAATTGTTGCTGAAATTTGTAAGTAGTCTAGGCTTAGTGGCAAGGCTGGAACCCCGGTAGTAGGTTGCGCGGTAGTTTGTTTCATCGACCTAGAGGGATTGTATGAAAGGGATGCAGGTGGCAGGTGGGAATACTTATGACAGGCGTAGATAGCTCTTCTGAAGTTTTAGCTTTCAAATTCGCGAGGGATACAGGCGGTAGGGCTCAGAGTTGGGATTGTATGAAAGGGATGCAGGTGGCAGGTGGGAATACTTACGACAGGTGTAGACTCCGCCCGATAGATCGGGGAACGCACGAAAATAGCTCTTCTGGAGTTTGAGCTTTCAAATTCGCGAGGGATACAGGCGGCAGGGCTCAGAGTTAAAGTGGCGGAGGAAGAGTGGAATCCAAAGTCGGCAATGCTATGTAAGAGCTTTTCAATTTATGCAGTGTCAACTCGAAGCTTTGCTACCTTTGGACATGGTAGATCCACGTGTGCTAGGATCAACGCTGTAGGTATACTGGACGATATTCAGATTTGGTATACCTTCCTGCGTGTAATCGACCGATCAATTGGTATTTCGTTTCCTTTTGCCTTAGACTGTTTGACTTTATGAGGTTTGAGGAGATAAATTGGGAGTATAGCTGTACACGCAGCAATCAATAATGGCAGCCGATTTTTACGAGTTCCAATCTGTACTACTCGATGAAGGGCTACTGCTCACTACCTATTTCTTTAGAAAAACAGGGAATGAGCAATGATGATGAGAAGGGCATTCAAACGATTCCATAAATCAGCGACGTTAGCCGGGCTATCTAACTGGTTCTATTTACATATAACGCGTAAGCGTCAGTCTGCTGTCTGTTTGTTCGTTCGTTTGTTTGTTTGTT